AACTGACCTCAGGAGTCTCACAATGTCTCTCTGGTTCTGGAATATTCTCAGGTTTCTCTATCTGAAGTCCCTGAACTGGCTTCCCTAGAGCTTTGCATCGTTTGTAGCCCTCGACCTGTGCTTGGCTTGGCTGACTCTGTGCCCACTTTCAGCTTCTGAAGAATGACATTAGCCACTGCCTTGATTTTCACTTTGACCTTCCTGTTTATGTTGATAGTGAGAGGGATAAATCACCTGTGAAAATTCTCCACCAGTTTCCTGAATTCCCTCACATAATTAATTTTCAATTCCCCAGTTTCTATTCATGTACGTGGCCTTGGTACACTGAGTATGCCCGTTTTTCTTCTGCAAATCACTCCTATGTTTTGGGAACTGTAAAGCCGAATGAAAGTAAGCAAATGGCCAAGGAGGCAGGAAAAACTGAAGGAAGTGAACAACAGAAGCACGTACAGATAGAAGCTGCCTGTTCACTAACCTGCCTTACCTTTACCTTTTGCCATTAAATGGGATAAGAGAGGGATGAGAGGACAAGGAAAATGGTGTGGAAATTGAATTGGGGTAGGATTTATGAGAAGCAAACTAATAGACTCTAAACATTTTGCAGAAAAATGGTAGAAAATTGAGTCAACTTAAGGGGATAAGACTGGGGAATTGGTAAGGAATGAGAGAAGATATATAAGGGTTTTTTTACAGTAAAAAATCATGTTTTGCTGGGACCAGATTTTGTCCACATTAGGCATATTTCAGTGTTTAGTTCTTTGAAATGTCTGGTGATACTTTTTTCCTTTCTTTATCCATACAAATGTGTTTGTAGATATGTATGTTTGCTATACACTGTTTTCACCAGGCAGAGGAGTTTCTCCAAAGCTCACCAAGGTACCTCATTTCAAAACTCTATGTATGAAAACTTGATAAACATGAGAATATTGGTGTAAGCTATTTTAACTGGAGAGAGAAAAGAAAGCTGAGATAGGTGCTGGAAGTTAAGCATAGATGTTATACAGATTTTATGCAAGGCAGAGTGTAAATGTAACATCTTCCGCAGAGTACTGCATGCCAATGAAAAGAAGACTCATATACTAACTATTGTAAGAAATCATACATATTAAGCTTGATCTTACAGTACACATGTAAACAAAACACCATCAAAGTAATGGGAGTTTGGTTTTGTACGTATGGCGATCTTATATACAATTGATACCTCCATAGCTGCCTCATAAATAGGCTACATTATAGAGTCAGCTGTGGCTTCCTGTAGCATCTGACATCCTACTTTAAATCTTCCTGCTGTCTCCTCTGTTTTACCAGCCCATTTATTAGAACATGTGTGGGCTATGCTTATATCACCAAGGGTACACTTGCTATATTTATATCCTTTATTTAAGAATCAGTCAGCTAAATCACCGTAATATTTAAAAGTTCATGCCATCTATTGATATTAGTTTCATGTTTTCTTTTAAGGGAAAAAAAAAAGCATCTTCCATTTTTCTGTCCCTACTGGGACAATAATGGAGCTACTTACCTTTTTTTCTCCCCTCAAAATTGATGAACTGGCCTCTTCTGCCAGAGAGAAAATCAGAAAGGGGAGTTTATTGGCCATTTGCAAGTTCACATGTCAGTTAAATACTAAAGAAATTTCCATAGGCCTGTGATTGCCTATTTCTATGTTGTAGATACATTAGGAAAAAAAGTTTTATATATATGTGTGTATATATATTTGTATAAAGCCTATTTATATGTGGATATATATACACACACACATGCACACATAGACATTCATACTTCTCACAAGTGTTTTAAAGAAAAGATGAAGACTTTCTGTATCTTTTATAGGATATCCAAAACTATTCAGAAACACTAGTTGGAAGTATCTCTAAAGTTGGCTCAATTAATTGGGATAAACTATTAGACACTCTCAATTTCACAGTATGGTTAAAATTTCATAGATTTTCTTTTGTTGGCTTGTATACACACATGCAGAGACACACATATTTCCTATTGGCAGAATAGTGAAGTGAAATAACTTTTTAATAAGTATCAGGAAATATGAACTCAAGGCCTGACTTTGACATCAGCATGTGGCCTTCGGCTGGTCATTTAAATCCTCTAGACTTTGGTCTCCTAGCTATAAAATGATGGCAGAGAAAAGGAGCCCAGCTGGTGCCCTTCCCTTCAAGGCCCTTTTTGGGAAATTTGCTTATAAACCTTTCCTCAGTACCTCTTGTGCCACCAGCATTCTATGTGAGGAGGGGGCCATCTCTAGGAGAATTATTTGGTTTTCATTTGTACTTGTCTTCCCATGAAATGTTTGTTCAGGTCCCAAACATGGCTTTTATCTAATTAGACTTTAAATGATGAGTACCTGGCTACAATATAGGCTTCCTAAAAATGAGAACCTGCAGAAAAGAAAAAAAATTACTGAACTTCATAAAACATTGTTTTCTGAGACATTTATGAGTCAAAGGGGAAAAATTTCAACATTTGAAGAATAATAGAAAAAATTCAAGTATATTTAGGTTTTTGGTCTTGATTTTGCTGCCTGTGTCTTGAGTCTAAATGCATATTAATTTGTCAATGAATTCAGAGTACCAAAACTGACCACACTTTTTTAAAAAACCATATCTAGAGAATACCGACTCTTGTTAGCATATTGTTTCTCATTTTCCTCTTTCTATAGTGGTAGTATCTTGAGTGGAGTTTGTGTTTATGAAGCTGAATTTCATTTTACTTTCTCTTTATGGTTTTATCACATCATTTACAAACATTTTATCTCTGTTAAAGAAAATAAATGAAATTTCAGGCCTTTGATGAAATGTCATGCTGAAATGGATAGTCCAAAAATCTATATTTAGATGACTGACTTCTGTCTGAAGAAGACATGATAAATGTCTCAAGCATAGAAACTGAAGGATGATGAATTTAATGATCATACCCTAACTGGGGAATGCTATTTTAGAATAATTAAATGTTCCATCATTTGCAAGTTTAAACAGTCCATTGTTAGTTCCTGTTGTGGTCTGTCAACAGATTCTTACTTTTTTCAAAGGAAATTTATCATTAAGATAATTGAACTGATAGCAACATTCCACATGTGTATGTTAGCGCTAGTGCATTTCACGGGACTCTAATTCATAGCTATAGTTTGAAAAAATTTAATTTATATATGAGTTTGCTTCATAAATAACAAACGACAAGCATTGTCTAAAGGCTACTCGTAGATATTAATCTTCAGGTATTGAATAGATTCTATGCTTGAAGAGGTGGCTAAGCCTTTTGTCACCTGAAAATTTTAATGGAATAAAAAAATTCAAAAGCTATTTTATAATTAAATAATAATAATTTCACAATTTTCTTGCTGATTCTTATATTGTAGAAGATGTTACACACTAAATTCCTTTTTTCTCTAGGTCTACTTTAATATTTTTAACATTATATTTTTAATTTGTTATTACCAATCTATAAGAACACAACTGGTTTTTATAAATTGATCTCACTTTCAGCAACTTTACTGAAATTTCACTTATGTTCAAGAGTTGACTAGAAAGTTTTTGGACTTTTTACTATAGTTAATCACATTTTTTAGAAATAGTAATTGTTGTCACTTTCTAATCTTCATATACAGGAATGTGTAGTGTCATAGTAAATAGAAGTAGATTTAGTGGCACTCTTGTCTCATTCTTGACTTTAAAAAGAGTGCTCCTAATGTTTCATATATATAGTGAAACATTGTATACACCCATATATATCCACACACATTTCATATATACACCCATCTATATCCACACACACACATATGTGTATACACATATATATCCACACACACATACACTTCTAATCAGTTTAAGAAGTTTTCTAAAGTTTCTAATTTGCAATTTTTTTTTCATGAATTGGTACTCTGAATTATTGTCAAGCACTTCAAAATAATTTTATCTTGTTATCTAATTATATATATATATATAGATATTTTAATATAGATTTTAACATTTGACTTCTTTAGATCTTGGACTTTTAGGCTACAAAATGGTGGTGGAGAGAAAGTGTTGGACTAGGGAATATATTCTTTGACCTATATAAATATATTTGTATTTTTTAATTTTTTTAAAGTCTTCAAACAATTCATTACAAAGAATGTAGACATTAAAAACAATCTCCACTGTCATGTACATAAATTGAGGTTTTACATCCCTGGTACAAGCTGGATCAATAAATAAATCCATTAGTGTATTACCATTTTTTTACTCATTTGCCATACTGACAGTGCAAATACAAATTTGATCTAAATGTACAGACTCTCAAGCAACAATGTCCAGGCTTTCTTCATCCTCCATGCTAAAAGATGTAAAAGTTCAAGGGTCAAACAATTCCACATGTACAGGCTTCAAAGATCATCTAAGTTAGGGATTTCACTAGCTTTAGCTAAAATACATTTGGAACACTTATGTGCAGTAATGGGAAGTAAATTTTTTGAAAAATAAAACTTTAGTGGAACAAACCTGAATATCAGGGAAAAAAAAATTTACCAGTTTAAGGAATCAACCAATTTGTTTCAGTCAGTTTGAGTCCCTGTTCTAAAACTTAAAAACAAGTTACCTTTCTGTAATACAAGAGCTTCCTATCATGTCTATATCTGTTATGAAGTGAAGGAGACTTAGGTGAAGAGTTTTTATTTATCGCAACTGCTATATCAACTGCCTAAGACATCATGGTAGTCTGGGAGATGTTCACGCAAAAGGTCATTGCCTTAGCTGACTTAAAATTGCCCCATCCAATGGTACATGTCAATCCTTAGTGAAGCCTTCAAGAAAACCAGTGAAAAAATGGGTTAAAGGAGGCCAATGCAGCATTTGCATTTAGAGCTATCAACTCAGGAATTCTCTCAATTGTTAAATATTGCAGAAAAGTTATTTTTCTTTTTCAAAATCCAGTGACATCAACACTCCTTACTCCAGATCTGGCATTTTTTTCATCATCAATGTCTTGTGAATCATCATTTACTCTACCTATTCTGGTAGATCTATATCCTCATCGCCACCCATGTTGTTCAAAATCTCAGAGAAATATCAAAATTTCATGTCTTCATCTGAATTATATTAACAGTCTTTTCAATTATTGAAGTCCACACTAAGCCAATTAAGCTGTGTCCTTTCTGTTCTTAACCTTTGCCATGACTGGCCAGATTCTCCTTTTTCATAAAAACATAAAATGTATCTGTCCATTGTTTTATGCTTGGAATCATTTGGATCAAGATAGTTAAAAATATCAATTTCATTTAAATGTTTAAAATGATCACTTCCTCTAAAACAACTGAAAGTAAGTTTGGATTTTTCAAAATTTACTTTACTGTCTTTACTATTTTTTTTAATTTATTTTTTCAAATACATTTGTCTCTGCCTCCCCCCCCCCCCCCCCCATCACTTTCCCTATGTTCAACACAAATCTAATGAAGACATACCCACTTTGATCACACCACTTTGTGGAAGCAGGCTGCATCATGACCCAGGAAAGGGGACAGATGAATGGTTGGGGGACCTCTCCAGTGGCAGCTGCTGGGAAGTGGACTTCTCTCCGGTGGCAACTTTGGCATTTATTCCCCCACATGACCTCTTCTCACTTCTATCATGCAATGGTGGCAGCAGTGGGCACAACCTGGGTACCCAGAATATACCTTGTAAAAGCTACACTACCCTTCTCCCAGGACCAAACTGGAATAATTACTAAATTAAAGAAAAATTATCATGAATAACCAACTGAACACTAGCTGGAGAGAAATCTTATAACCAAGGACATACAGAAGAAACCACTTCACTACAACAAGACAGGTAGGGAGTGATAAGGAGGCAAGGGAGAGCTGGCTGAGCTCCCAAAGGTGGAAGCCGAAGTTTTGAAGGATATTTCAGTGGCTGGTGGGGGTTCATCCTAAAAACTGTAGGGTCTAAACCTCAAGCTGGGTTCCTCAACATAGAGTGCCAGATCCAGGAATGGAAGCCAAATACCACCCACCTATGAAAAATGGCAGAGTTTTTGTCTCCCAGGAAGATACAGCTAGAGATGCAGACAGCCCCTTAAAAGGCCAACACACAAAGTTTCATTTGCAACCACTTAATTTTGGGCCCCTGCAGAGGGAGGGCAGAGTGGACTAGAGATGCATGGGGAGACACTGGGGTAGGTGGCTAGGGAAGAGATCTGAAGGGTCAACTGCCAGCATCCCTATGCTGAGTCATTCCCATACTGCAGAAGAAGCCACCTCTCCCAGACAGACCATTCCATTCCAAGTAGCATCAGCCTGAGGGGAAGCAAGAGCCCCACCCACGAGAATCCCTCTTACCTCAACCTATAGAGCTTAAGACAGGCTGCTGAGTACAGCTGAAGGCTATATTAGTGATAAAAGTGGAGGTGGAACTCATGGAGCTTTGAGACTTTAGCTGTCCCTCCCTGGGTCTGGTGCTGGTAAAAGTCAGCCTTAATGTGCAGCCTAGTTCTTTATGCACAACCCAGACTCAGCAGAGGGAACCACAAGCTGTGCATCACTGATGGCTACAAACAGATTGGAGCCAGTCACAGAGAGCGTCTGACAAAGGTCTGCACCAGAGTCTTTGCAGATCTACTTAATACATGGAAACAAATACATAAGAGTAGCCAAAATGGGAAGACAAAGAAACAGGCCCCAAATGGAAGAACAAGAAAATCTTCCAGAAAAAGAACTAAATGAAAGGGAGACAAACAATTTATCAGATATGAAGTTTAGAGAAATGATTATGAGGATACTAAACAGCATGAAAAAGACATAGAACCCATAAAAAAGAACCAGTGAGAAATAAAGAATGCAATACCTGAAATAAATAATACACTGGAAGGAATAAACAGTATGTTAGATGAAGCAGAGGATCAAATCGGCAATTTGGAAGACAAGGTAGAAAAAACACCCAAGCAGAGCAGCCAAAAGAATTTTTTTCAAAAAATGAGAAGAATGTAAGAAATCTTTGGGAAAACACGAAGTGTAACAAATCCACATCATGGAAGTACCAGGAGAAGAAGAGGATGAACAAGGAATCGAGAACCTATTTGAAGAAATAATGACTGAAAACATCCCTAATCTGGGGAAGGAAAAAGACACACAAGTCCAAGAAGTGCAGAGAGTCCCAAACAAGATGGACCTAAAGAGGCCTACACCAAGACATATCATAATTAAAGTGACAACTCTTAAAGACAAGGAAAGAGTCCTAAAAGCCAAAGAGAAAATCAGTTACCTGCAAGGGAGCATCAATTAGACTGTCATCTGATTTCTCAACACAACATTTCAGGCCAGAAGAGATTGGCAGAAAATATTCAAGGTTTTGAAAAGCAAGAACCAACAACCAAGACTACTTTATCCAGCAAGACTATCATTTAAAATGGAAGGAGAAATAAAGAGCTTCCCAGACAAGAAAAAGCTAAAAGAGTTTGTTAATACCAAACCACTATGGCAACAAATGTTAAATGGCTTGCTTTAAGAACATGAAGAAAACTAAAAACAGATGAAAATAATTTAAATATAAAAATGGCAATAAATATGTATCTATCAATAATCACCTTAAATGTAAATGACTTATATGCTACAACCAAAAGACATAGGATAACTGAATGGATAAGAAAACAAGACCGATATAGATGCTGTCTCCAAGAGACCCACTTCAAGTTGATATATATACACAGACTAAAAGTAAAAGGATGGAAAAAGATATTACATGCAGATGGAATAGAAAAAGAAAACTGGGGTAACAATACTTATATCTGATAAAATGGACTTTAAAACAAGGCTATAGTAAGAGACAGACACTACATAATGACAAAGGAAACTATCGAACAAGAGGATATAACCCTAGTAAACATTTATACACCTAACATAGGAGATCCTCAGTATGATTAACAGAAATACAGTCATAGTGGGGGATTTTAACACCTCATTGACTGCAAGACCCAAAATCAACAAGTAGAGAGCAGCCTCAAAAGACAAACTACATCAAATGGATTTAATTGATATCTTTAGATCATTTCACCTCAAAGGAGCAGAATAAACATAATTTTCAAGTGCACATGGAATGTTTTTGAGGATAGACCACATCTTAGGACAGAAAACTAGATTCAATAAATTTAAGAATATTGAGAGCTAGTGCCTGGAGGGCAGCAGCGGCAGCAACGGCGAGTGGTTCCGTGTGGCCTAGAAAAATCCTGCAAAAATGTCTCTATACCCATCTCTCGAGGACCTGAAGGTAGACAAAGTAATTCAGGCTCAGAGTGCCTTTTCTGCAAACCCTGCCAACCCAGCAATTTTGTCTGAAGCGTCTGCTCCCATCTCTCAAGATGGAAATCTCTATCCTAAATTGTATCCGGAGCTTTTTCAGTACATGGGCCTGAGTTTGAATGAAGAAGAAATACATGCAAATATGGGCATGGTCCCTGGAGCACCAACTCAGGGGCAGTTGGTAGCAAGACCTTCTAGTATGAACTATATGGTGGCTCCTGTAACTGGTAATGATGTTGGAATTCGTAGAGCAGAAATTAAGCAAGGGATTCGCGAAGTCATTTTGTGTAAGGATCAAGATGGAAAAATTGGGCTGAGGCTTAAATCAGTAGATAATGGTATATTTGTTCAGCTAGTTCAGGCAAATTCTCCAGCCTCATTGGTTGGTCTGAGATTTGGGGACCAAGTACTCCAGATCAACGGGGAAAACTGTGCAGGCTGGAGCTCTGATAAAGCACACAAGGTGCTCAAACAGGCTTTTGGAGAGAAGATCACTATGACTATTCGTGACAGGCCCTTTGAATGCACAATTACTATGCATAAGGATAGTACTGGACATGTTGGTTTTATATTTAAAAATGGAAAAATAACATCCATAGTAAAAGACAGTTCTGCAACCAGAAATGGTCTTCTCACAGAACATAACATCTGTGAAATTAATGGACAGAATGTCATTGGATTGAAGGACTCTCAAATTGCAGACATATTGTCAACCTCTGGGACTGTAGTAACTATTACAATTATGCCTGCTTTTATCTTTGAACATATTATTAAACGGATGGCACCAAGCATCATGAAAAGTCTGATGGACCACACCATTCCTGAGGTTTAGAAGTCATGTCACAACAGAAACTTCGCCGAACTTTTCCAGTTTACTTCCTTGGCAACTTAACTTTGTATTCTGCACATGAAGCTTTCTAGGAGCCAGAGAGCATATGCTGCATGACGCCCTTTCTATCTGACGTGGCTGGGAACCTTAACTGTTTGATCTGATACCTTGTTCGGACTTCGGAATAGTTGTAGCCTTATCCTGGTTTTATGGATGTGTAACTTTGGAAAGATTTACTGATTTTCATAGATTAGTATCTATGCTGGAAACCTGATGCTTTTATAAGCCATGATGATTAGAATGACTGATGCAGGCTTCAGCTTTGTGTTAGAACCAGTCAACTTTATTCTAGAGATCAAGTAGTGCTGTTCATACTTCTCTAGTTCTTTGGTATCTTTGCATTTTTACTGTTACCGTAGTACATTTAGAATGATTACTTTTGATGGTTTTTTTATTTTTTGGTTTTGTGTATGTGTGGGTGTAGTGCGTGTCTGCAAAACACCAATTAAATAACACTGGTTTCATTCCATGTAAGCATTATACAGTGTATGTAGGTTGCAAAAGATAGTATTATCATTACATTTTTAACTACCTTCACTTAATATGCTTGAACTGTCGCCTTAACTATGTTAAGCATCTAGAATAAAAGCCAAAATAATAACTATTGCTGCCTTTCTAAAACCCAAAATGCAGTTCTATATTAAACTGAAATGTACACTAGCCCAGAACAAATTAGTGGCATATACTGAGCTATATATAGCATTACTGCTTAGTTGCATTTGAGATTTTCTAGTTATTGTGTAATGGAAACTTCTCAAAGTTACTGGTATCATTTTCTGAGAAATGAATCACTATATATTTAAAAACTCTTATACTAAGTAGAATAAACTTTTGACTTTTTTATTGTCGATTAAGTAGGATGGTGCCTAATTTTGACATTTTACTCTAAACATTATGTAACCTAGCTCTTTTGGGACGGTCTTACAATGTTGTCCTGGTAATTTGTTCTATCTCCTGACTTCTCCCTGCAAACAAAATTGCATTGACACTTTATTCTGACTTTTTTCTTCTTTTTGGCCTATTCCAATTAAATATGTATAAATAAACTTAAATTTTAATCAGAAAAAAAATAAGAATATTGAAATCATATCAATCATCTTCTATGATCACAATGCTATGACACTAGAACTCAATCACAAGAAGAGTGCTGAAAAACATGCAAAGAAATAGAAGCTAAATAACATGTTATTAAACAATGAATGGGTCAACAATGAGATCAAGGGGAAAAATCAAAATATACCTTGAAACAAATGAAAATGAGAGCATAACAACCCCAAATCTGTCAGATACAAGAAAAGCAATCCTAAGAGGGAAATTCATAGAATTACAGGCTTACCTCAAGAAACAAGAAAAAGTCAAAATAAACAGTCTAACTTTACACTTAAAAGGACTTGAAAATGAACAATAAAGCACAAAGTGAGTAGAAAGAAGAAAATAATAAAGATAAGAGCATAAATAAATAAGAGTCTAAAAAACAATACAAAAGATCAATGAACCCAAGAGCTGGTTCTTTGAAAAGATAAACAAGATTGACAAACATTAAACCAGACTTATCAAAAAAAAGAGAGAAAGAGAGAGGGAAAGGACCCAAATAAATAAAATCATAAATAAAAGATGAGAAATAACAACTGACCAGAGATATAAAAATGATTGTGAGAAAATACTATGAACGACTATATGTCAAAAAACTGGACAACTGAAACAAAATGGATAAATTTATAGAAACATACAATCTTCCAAAACTATATCAGGGAGAATCTGAATAGATAGATTGTACTTAGAGAAACTGAAGCAGCAATCAAAAGACTCCTAACAAACAAAAGCCAAGGACTGGATGACTTCACAGGTAAATTTTACCAAACATTCCAAGAAGAACTAACACTTCTCCTTCTCAAACTAATTCAAAAATTTAAGAGGAGGAAAGACTCCCAAGCTCATTTCACAAAGCCAGTATTATCCTAATTCCAGAACCAGATAAAGACACTGCAAGAAAAGAAAATTATGGGCCAATATGCCTGGTGAACATAGATGCTAAAATCCTCAACAAATATTAGCAAACTGAATACAGCAATGCATCAAAAAGATCTTACACCATGACCAAGTAGTATTTATTCCAGGACTGCAAGGTTAGTGCAACATTCAAAAATTAACAAATATGATACGTCACGTAAACATGCTCAACAGGCAAAAATTACAAGTGTTCCTCTTAAGATCAGGAACAAGACATGAATGTCCATTTTCACCTTTCTTATTCAAAATAGTGCTGGAAGTCCTAATGATAGCAATCAGATAAGAAGAAGAAATATAAGGCATCCAAAATGGAAATGAAGTAAAACTGTAATTATTTGCAGATTCAATGATACTGAACATAGAGAACCCTAAAGATTCTACCAAGAAACCATTAGAACTGACAAATTAATTCAGTAAATTATTGGGATACAAAATTAATACCCAGAAATCATTTGCATTTTTATGCCAATAATGAACTATCAGAAAGGAAAATTAAGAAAACAATCTTATTCACAATTGCTTGAAGAATAATAAAATATCTGGGAATAAATCCAACCAAGGATGTAAAAGGCTTGTACTCAAAAAATTATAAAACACTGAAGAAAAAAATGAAGAAGATACAAATAAGTGGAAGCAGATATCATGTTTATGAATAGGAAGAATTAACATCATTAAAATGTTGTGCTACCCAAAGCAATCTATAGATTCAATGCAATTTCTATCAAGATTCCAATTATGTATTTCACAGAGCTAGAACACATATTTCAAAAGCTTATAAGGAACCACAAAAGGCCCTGCATAGCAACAGCAATCCTGAGGAAAAAAAAAAAACAAAGTTGAAAGAATCATACTACCTAATATCAAACTATACTATAAGTCCACAGTAATCAAAACAGCATAGTACTGGCATAAAATCAGATGCATAGATCATTGGAACAGAATAGAGAGCCAGAAATAAACCCACACATTTATAGTCAATTAATATGAGGAAGCAAGTACATACAATGGGCTAGAGATTGTTTATTCAATAAATGGTGTTGGGAAAGTTGGATGGATTCATGCAGAGAAATGAAACTAGACCACCCTTTTATGCCACACACAAGAATAAATTCAAAAAGGATTAAATACTTAAAATGTTAGACCCACCACCATAAAAATCATAGAAGAAAACATAGGTATTAAAATCTCAGACATTGCCCTTAGAGATATTTTATCTGATATATCTCCTCAGGCAAGGGAAACTAAAAAAATTAACCAATGGGACTAGATCAAACTAATTTTTTTTTTTCACAGCAAAGGAAACCACCAAGAAAATTAAAAGACTAGCTACAGAATGGTAGAACATATTTGCTGATACATCTGATAAGGAGTTAATGTCTAAAATTTATAAAGAACTTACAAAACTTAACATCAAAATAACAAAAAATCCAATTAAAAATGGTAAAAGGACCTGAATAGATACTTCTCCAAAGAGGACATACAGACAGCCCATAGACACATAAAAAGATGCTCAACATCACTAGTTATCAGAGAAATTAAAATTAAAACCACAAATGAGATATCGCCTCACACCTGTCAGATTGGCTATCATCAATAAAACAACAAACAACAAGTGTTGATAAGGATGTGGAGAAAGGGGAATATTTTGCACTATTGGTGGGAATATAGATTGATTCAGTCCTGTGGAAAGCAACATGGAGATATCTCAAAATATTAAAAATGGATCTGCTTTTGACACACTTCTTTGTGATTCCACTTCTGGGAATACATCCAAAGGAATCCAAAACTCTAATTAGAAAGAACATAAGCACCCCTATGTTTATTACAATGTTACTTCCAGTATCCAAGATGTGGAAGCATCCCAAGTATCCATCAGTAGATGAGTGGATAAAACAACTATGGGACATTTACACAATGGAATATTTTTTGGCTATAAAAGTGAAATAAACCAGCCAAAGACAAATACCACATAATTTGACTCATATGTGGAATCTAATGAACAAACTAAACTAACATAATAGAGACAGACTCACAGAGAGCACATGACAGTTATGACAAGGGGGGTGGTTTTAGGGGGTGGAGGGATTTAGAAAAAAGGAAAAAGGATTCATGGACATAGACAACAGTGTGGCGATTGCAGGAGGAACAGGGACATGAGGAGAATAAATGGTAATGGAATAAATACAATGAAAATAATTTTTAAATAAAAATTAAAACCAGAAATATTAAAAAAGGGAAAAAATTTTCCCAAAATCTGTTAAAATGTTTGTCCTTATGTTTCAGATCTTTATATATCTTTCTCTTACCCCCTCTTTGGATAAACAAAAGACAGATGATAGAAAAATTGTGCATAGACATAACGATCTTAAATAGAATGACATTGTCAATGCATTAGTAATATACATGAATTACAAATCATTTAACTGTTGATTTAAAGGCCCCCCACCTTTGTTACTGGCACACTTATGTTTGTATAGGTTATTTTTATATAGCTGTGTTACATGAATATTTAGAGAAACTAGTCAAAACTTCGCTATTTCTTTGACTAGGTGCTAGAAATCAAAACAACTAGATGAATCATCAGGAAAGCCTGGTCACATTACTGACCAAATTGGAGCATTGAATTATTGATTCAGATGCAACCTAATTAATTATGAAGATGGCTGAAAACACCAGACGGATCATCCCACGACTAACAGATTTTGATTGCCTTGCATGTGCTGTGTGGTCCATATGTGGAAGCCTGAACATTTGTAGATAGGTAGGACTGACTGGGCATGGCCAGATGGGCATTGCCCAAGTTAGGAAAATCATGGAAGGCTGTTTAAAACTCTCTATGTATCAATGCAGTGGCAGAGACATGCTGGCAAAGCAATGTTTCATCCTGATTTGATTCAAGCAGCAGTATTCATGGAGCAAGTCATTCATTACAAGCTACTATCTGCTTTTTAAAACTCTATTGAAGGTTTTCAAACTCAGCTTGAACAGGGTTTCTTGGAATCCCTGTTGATTACTTTACTTAACCCAAGTATAACTAGTCATCTTATGGATTTTGAATGGCCTAAAATAGTTCATCACATTTGAGCAAGGCCATTTGAAATGTGTTAAGTTTCTGCACATAGGCTGTAATGAAATATGACAATCCAAACCCATCAAATCTGACTTGATCAATCTGGTATTTTTCAGACTCTC